CCCTCAGAACTCCAGGAATTCCCAAACCCCCTCAGAACTCCGGGAATTCTCGGAATTCCGGCGGAATTCCCATCCCCAAACCCTTCCCAAGCCCCAGGAATTCCCAAACCCTCCCAGAACTCCGGGAATTCCTGGAATTCCCACAAAATTCCCATCCCCAAACCCTTCCCAACCCCCAGGAATTCCAGAACCCCTCCCAGAACTCCGGGAATTCCCAGAATTCCAGTGGAATTCCCATCCCCAAACCCTTCCAGAACTCCGGGAATTCCCGGAATTCCCACAAAATTCCCATCTCCAAACCCTTCCCAAGCCCCAGGAATTCCCAAACCCCCCCAGAACTCCGGGAATTCCCGGAATTTCCATCCCCAAACCCTCCCAGAACTCCGGGAATTCCCGGAATTCCGGTGGAATTCCCATCTCCAAACCCTTCCCAACCCCCAGGAATTCCAGAACCCCCCCAGAACTCCGGGAATTCCCGGAATTCCCAGGAAATTCCCATCCCCAACCCTTTCCCAACCCCCAGGAATTCCCAACTCTTCCAGAACTCCGGGAGTTCCCAGAATTCCCAGGAAATTCCCATCCCCAAACCCTTCCCAACCTCCAGGAATTCCCAACCCTCCCAGAACTCCAGGAATTCCCGGAATTCCGGCGGAATTCCCATCCCCAAACCCTTCCCAACCCCCAGGAATTCCCAAACCCCCCCCGAACTCCAGGAATTCCCGGAATTCCGGCGGAATTCCCATCTCCAAACCCCCTCAGAACTCCGGGAATTCCCGGAATTCCAGCGGAATTCCCATCCCCAAACCCTTCCCAACCCCCAGGAATTCCCAAACCCCCCCCGAACTCCAGGAATTCCCGGAATTCCGGCGGAATTCCCATCTCCAAACCCTTCACAACCTCCAGAAGTTCCCAAACCCCCCCAGAACTCCGGGAATTCCCAGAATTCCGATGGAATTCCCATCCCCAAACCCTCCCAGAACTCCGGGAATTCCCAGAATTCCCATCCCAAACCCTCCCAGAACTTTGGGAATTCCCGGAATTCCGGCGGAATTCCCGACCTTCTCGTGCTGCCGCAGGTACTCCCCGCAGCATTCCAGCATTTCCTCGGGATCGGCGTTTCCCAGGGAACTCAGGGAATTCCGGATCTGCTCCTGCACCTCGGGATCTTTATCCGTGCTCGCGTCCATCAGCGTCGTCGCCAGCCCTGGAACGTTCCAGAATTCCCGGGAATTTCAACTCCCGGAATTTTCCCACTTTTTCCTCAATTTTCCACTTTTTCCCCAATTTTTTTCCTTCTTTTTTCCTTTTTTCCACTCCTTTTTTCCCTTTTTTTTCCTCCTTTTTTCCCCAATTTTTTCCTCCTTTTTCCCTTTTTTTTCCTCCTTTTTCCACCTTTTTTCCCCAAATTTTTCCTCCTTTTTTCCTATTTTTTCCTCCTTTTTTCCTTTTTTTTCCTCCTTCTTTTTCCCTTTTTTCCCCAACTTTTTTCCCCAAATTTTTCCTCCTTTTTTCCTATTTTTTCCTCCTTTTTTCCTTTTTTTTCCTCCTTCTTTTTCCCTTTTTTCCCCAATTTTTTACATCTTCTTTCCTCCTTTTTTTCCCTCTTCTTTTACCAATTCTTTTCCTCCTTTTTTCCTTTTTCTTTCCCCTCCTTTTTTCCTTTTTTTCCCCCATTTTCCCTGATTTTTCCTCCTTTTTTCCCAAATTTTTCCTTTTTCCCCCGATTTTTCCTCCTTTTTTTCCTCCTTTTTTCCTTATTTTTCTCCTTTTTTCCTTATTTTTCCCTCCTTTTTTTTCCCTTTTTTCCCCAATTTTTACCCCCTTTTTTCCCTTTTTTCCCTCCTTTTTCCATCTTTTTTTCTCCTTTTTTTTCCCTTTTTCCCTCTTTTTTTTCCAATTTTTTCCTCCTTTTTTCCTTTTTTTTCCCTTTTTCCCTGATTTTTCCTCCTTTTTTTCCCCAAATTTTTCCTTCTTTTTTCCTTTTTTTCTCTTTTTTTCTCCAATTTTCCCCCCTTTTTTCCCCTCCTTTTTCCATCTTTTTTCCTCCTTTTTTCCCTTTTTCCCTCTTTTTTTTCCAATTTTTTTCCCCAAATTTTTCCTTTTTTTCCCACTTTTTTCCCTGATTTTTCCTCCCTTTTTCCTTTTTTTTCCCTTTTTTCCCTGATTTTTCCTCCTTTTTTTCCCAATTTTTTCCATTTTTCCCCAGATTTTTCCTCCTTTTTCAATCTTTTTTCCTCCTTTTTTCCTTTTTTTTTCCCTTTTTTCCCCAATTTTTTCCCCCTTTTTTCCTTTTTTCCCCTCCTTTTCCCCTCCTTTTTCCTCCTTTTTTTCCACTTTTTCCCTCTTTTTTTTCCAATTTTTTTCCTCCTTTTTTCCTTTTTTTTCCCTTTTTCCCTGATTTTTCCTCCTTTTTTCCCTGATTTTTTCCTCCCTTTTTCCTTTTTTTTCCCTTTTTTCCCTGATTTTTCCTCCTTTTCTTCCCAATTTTTTCCATTTTTCCCAGATTTTTCCTCCTTTTTCCATCTTTTTTCCTCCTTTTTTCCTTTTTTTTCCCTTTTTTCCCCAATTTTTTCCCCCTTTTTCCCTTTTTTTCCCTCCTTTTTCCATCTTTTTTCCTCCTTTTTTTCCCCTTTTTCCCACTTTTTTTTCCAATTTTTTCCTCCTTTTTGCCTTTTTTTTCCCTTTTTCCCTGATTTTTCCTCCTTTTTTCCCCAATTTTTTCCTCCCTTTTTCCTTTTTTTTCCCTTTTTTCCCCAATTTTTTCCCCCTTTTTTCCCCTCCTTTTTCCATACTTTTTTCCTCCTTTTTTCCTTCTTTTTTTTTTCCTTTTTTCTTCCTATTTTCCCATTTTTCCCCCCATTTTTCCCATTTTTTCCCCATTTTTCCATCCCATTTCCCCCCATTATTCCCCATTTTTCCCCATTTCCCCCCATATTTTCCCATTTTTCCATTACATTTTTCCCCTCATTTTCCTTTTTTTCCCTGTTTTTCCCACATTTTTCCTCCTTTTCCATTTTTTTCCCTTTTCCCTCCATTTTTCCCCATTATTCCCCATTTTTCCCCATTTTTCCCCCATTTTTCCCCGTTTTTTTGCTTTTTTTTCCCGTTTTTCCCATTTTCCCATCCCATTTTCCCCCATTTTTCCCCATTTTTTCCTATTTTCCCCCATTTTTCCCCATTATTCCCCATTTTCTCCCCCATTTTTCCCATTTTTCCCCAATTTTTCGCATTTTTTGCCATTTTTTCCCCATTTTTCCATCCCATTTTTTTCCCATTTTTTTCCCATTTTTTTCCCATTTTTTCCCATTATTTCCCATTATTCCACATTTTTCCCCATCCCATTATTCCCCATTTTTCCCCATTTTTCCCCCTTTTTTCCCATTTTTCCCACTTTCCCCCCATTTTTCCTTCCCATTTTACCCATTTTCCCCATTTTTTTCCCATTTTTCCCCATTTTTTTCCCATTTTTCCCCATTTTTCCCATTTTTCCCCATTTTCCCCATTTCCCCATCCCATTTTCCCCCCATTTTTCCATCCCCTTTTTCCCCATTTTTCCCCGTTTTCCCCCATTTTTTCCCTTTTTTTCCCATTTTTCCCATTTTCCCATCCCATTTCCCCCCATTTTTCCATCCCATTTTTCCCATTTTCCCCATTTTTCCCACATTTCCCCCCATTTTTCCCCCATTTCCCCCCATTTTTCCCCCATTTTCCCCATTTTTTCCCCCATTTTTCCCCATTTCCCCCCATTTTCCCCCCTTTTTTCCCCATTTTTTCCCCATTATTCCCCATTTTCCCCCTATTTTTTCCCATTTTTCCCCATTTTTTCCCATTTTTCCCCATTTTTTCCCCATTTTTCCCATTTTTCCCCCTTTTTTCCCCATTTCCCCCATTTTCCATCCCATTTTTCCCATTTTTTCCCATTTTCCCCCCTTTTCCCGTCCCTTTCCCGCGTTTCCCGGGATTTCCCTCACTCCGGATCCGCGATTCCATCATGCTCCGCGTCCCCGGCTTTCCCGGGAGAACGAGCTCGGAATTCCTGGGAAAACAGAAAGGGAATTCCGGGAAAAAACCGGGAATGGGGCAGAGCTGGGGGAATTCCGGGAATTCAATGGGAATTTAATGGGAATTTAATGGGAATTCAATGGGAATTCAATGGGAATTCCGGGAAAAACCGGGAATGGGGCTGAGCTGGGGGAATTCCGGGAATTCAATGGGAATTCAATGGGAATTTAATGGGAATTTAATGGGAATTCCGGGAATTTAATGGGAATTTAATGGGAATTCAATGGGAATTTAATGGGAATTCCAGGAATTTAATGGGAATTCCGGGAAAAACCGGGAATGGGGCTGAGCTGGGGGAATTCAATGGGAATTTAATGGGAATTTAATGGGAATTCCGGGAAAAACCGGGAATGGGGCTGAGCCGGGGGGAATTCTGGGAATTTAATGGGAATTTAATGGGAATTTAATGGGAATTTAATGGGAATTCCGGGAAAAACCGGGAATGGGGCTGAGCCCGGGGGAATTCCAGGGGAATTCCGGGAATTCAATGGGAATTTAATGGGAATTTAATGGGAATTGTGGGAATTTAATGGGAATTTATTGGGGATTCAATGGGAATTTAATGGGAATTCAATGGGAATTTATTGGGAATTCAATGGGAATTCAATGGGAATATTTTGGAATTCCATGGGAATTCTGGGAATTTAATGAGCATTGTGGGAATTTAGGGAGAATTCTGGGAATTCAATGGGAATTTAATGGGAATTTAATGGGAATTTAATGGGAATTCCGGGAATTTAATGGGAATATTTGGGATTTAAGGAGAATATCTGGGAATGAAATGGGAATTTGGGGAATTTAATGGGAATATTTGGGAATTAAATTGGAATTTAATGGGAATTCTGGGAATTTAATGGGAATATTTGGGAATTCCATGGGAATATTTGGGAATGAAATGGGAATTTTGGGAATTCAATGGGAATATTTGGAATTCAATGGGAATTTTGGGAATTCAATGAGAATTCTCTGCTCCAGGGGCAGGAATTCCATGGGAATTTGGGGAATTTAATGGGAATTTGATGGGAATTCGATGGGAATTCTGGGAATTCAATGGGAATTTCGGGAATTCGATGGGAATTTAATGGGAATATTTGGGGATTTAATGGGAATTCTCTGCTCTGGGGGGGAATTTAATGGGAATTCTTGGAATTTAATGGGAATTCTGGGAATTTAATGGGAATTCAAGGGGAATTGTCTGCTCCAGGGGCAGGAATTCCATGGGAATTTTGGGAATTTAATGGGAATTTGATGGGAATTTGATGGGAATTTTGGGAATTTAATGATAATTTAATGGGAATTCTGGGAATTTAATGGGAATTTCAGGAATTCTCTGCTCCAGGGGCAGGAATTCCATGGGAATTTAATGGGAATTAAATGAGAATTTAATGGGAATTTGATGGGAATTCTGGGAATTAAATGGGAATTTAATGGGAATTCTGGGAATTACATGGGAATTCTGGGAATTACATGGGAATTGATGGGAATACTATGGGAATTTGTGGGAATTCGATGGGAATTTTGGGAATTCGATGGGAATTCTGGGAATTACATGGGAATTCTGGGAATTCAATGGGAATTCTGGGAATTCGAGGGGAATTCTGGGAATTCGATGGGAATTTTGGGAATTCAATGGGAATTCTGGGAATTACATGGGAATTTCGGGAATTCGATGGGAATTTCGGGAATTCAATGGGAATTCTCTGGGAATTACATGGGACTTTTGGGAATTCAATGGGAATTCGATGGGAATTCGATGGGAATTCTGGGAATTAAATGGGAATTCTGGGAATTCAATGGGAATTCTGGGAATTAAATGGGAATTCTGGGAATTCAATGGGAATTCGATGGGAATTCAATGGGAATTCTATGGGAATTCTATGGGAATTCTCTGCTCCAGGGGCAGGAATTCCATGGGAATTTAATGGGAATTAAATGAGAATTTAATGGGAATTTGATGGGAATTCTGGGAATTCTGGGAATTCAATGGGAATTCTGGGAATTCAATGGGAATTCTGGGAATTCAATGGGAATTCGATGGGAATTCAATGGGAATTCTATGGGAATTCTATGGGAATTCTCTGCTCCAGGGGCAGGAATTCCATGCAAATTTAATGGGAATTCGATGGGAATTCTGGGAATTACATGGGAATTTTGGGAATTCAATGGGAATTCTGGGAATTACATGGGAATTCTGGGAATTCGATGGGAATTTTGGGAATTACATGGGAATTTTGGGAATTCGATGGGAATTTAATGGGAATATTTGGGGATTTAATGGGAATTCTCTGCTCTGGGGGGGAATTTAATGGGAATTCTTGGAATTTAATGGGAATTCTGGGAATTTAATGGGAATTCAAGGGGAATTGTCTGCTCCAGGGGCAGGAATTCCATGGGAATTTTGGGAATTTAATGGGAATTTGATGGGAATTTGATGGGAATTTTGGGAATTTAATGATAATTTAATGGGAATTCTGGGAATTTAATGGGAATTTCAGGAATTCTCTGCTCCAGGGGCAGGAATTCCATGGGAATTTAATGGGAATTAAATGAGAATTTAATGGGAATTTGATGGGAATTCTGGGAATTCTGGGAATTCAATGGGAATTTTGGGAATTCAATGGGAATTCTGGGAATTACATGGGAATTCTGGGAATTCGATGGGAATTTTGGGAATTACATGGGAATTTTGGGAATTCGATGGGAATTCTGGGAATTCGATGGGAATTTTGGGAATTACATGGGAATTCTGGGAATTACATGGGAATTTCGGGAATTACATGGGAATTTCAGGAATTCGATGGGAATTCTGGGAATTACATGGGAATTTCGGGAATACGATGGGAATTCCGAGCTGGAATCAATCCAGGAATTCCAATCCCAGCGGGAAAAACTCGGGAATCTCCGGAGCTTCCATGGGGAGAATCCGTCTTTATC